TTGAGTAATTTGTGTGACAGAAAGTCACGCGATATTTGTTAATAATATTTCGTGCGTATTTCACATCGCGTACGGGAGTGTCCGAAATTTCGCGCGATCGATGATTTTCGCGAGTGAGTGTGTGAGTGGAACGAGGAAATCTGAGAGGAGGAGGAGGTCCAGGAGGCATCGGGCAACGGCGGAGAAATGGTGAGGTAAGTGTCTTACATTTTTATGTTATTTGCTACTTGTGCAAAATCAAGCATCTGTTCTGTGTATTTATTTAATTTATTCATATAATTCGAACGAAGATTCGAATAAGTGTTAGAGACAAAACCATACGTGTAAACTTTTGTGAGTTTATACTATATTTAAAAGGAAGATTTTTTTTAGTATTCTATATAATTATTTTAATAAATACCTATTTTAAAAAATACAAAATAGAAAGTATATTTAATACAATAATTTTGATTTTACATAATTAGCCTATAATAATCATATACATATTTGTATTGTTACAGTTTAACACATATGGTTAATGATATACAACTCTGCTGTTGCGAATCGTATCAGTAAGTGATAAATTACTTTTTATTTTAAATTAACGTTGCGCATACAATTACTTCTTTGCATGTATACAATATCTTAAAAATATACAATGCTCAACCACAAGTTGCGCGCGCGTTTTGTCACTTCTAGTAGGAAATAAACGTGAGTTGAAAATTCTATACCTAATATTTCAAATTACTTTCAGTAGGTTGTTCAGTAACTCTTACTATGCTTTTGCGTACTTTGCGGACTCATTAGTATTGTTAAGAATTGACTCTGTTCAATCGAGAAAATGTTTTGAAACGAAAATCGTTGTTACTCAAATTGTAATTACTGGGATATTTTATCTCAATTTAGTTGATATGTGCAATGTCTGTTATTTAATTACAAATCTTGAGTTATGGGTGGATTATCTAATTCTTTGCCTTAATGGTATAAATTGGTCGACATTAAATATTTCATTTGAAAGAACTAAAGATTCTCTTCTCACATTAACATTTTTCTCGTGCAACGATTCAACGTAAGAAGACAATCTGACTGTGAGAAACTGTAAAAATATGATCCTTGCAATGACAGTTACTCTCGCGCAAAATGGGCCAAGCGAGAAAATCAATCGGTATCGGAAAAGCGTCGACAATTAAACCTCTGTTTTTTAAAAAGGATATTAATTATCTCACTATGAGCCCTTCGAATCTAATTTTTTTTTAAGTAGCCTTCGTACATGTATCTCATTTGCATACGTGCATTTACATTATTACAAAATAAATGATACGAGCGATACTTACGAACTCTTTCGCGAACCGTATAAGCATTAAGTACAATTCTTGTTAGTGTTAATTTTAAAGCCTCGCGTAATTGTATACGGCTGGGAAGATATTTCTGACTTGTAATTAATAAAGAAAAATATTAACATGTCTCAGTGGTCGAATTGATAAGACGCCCGCCTTATAGAGTGAGGGAAGTCCAAGTTGAAATCGTGGCTAGTCGTAATATTTAATAATTATCATTTTCGTACAAGTTTGTTATTTTATCGTTGGAATTACTTGAAATTATTCTTGGGGTGATTGTATTTTATGCGTGTTCGTATTATTGCGATAAGGGCAAATGTCTTACACGAAAATATTAATTTAATCATATTAAAATAACTGAATATATTTATGTCTATAGACGGCACGATATTTCTTATGAAATTGTTTCTGTATTCCTAAGCTCGCTCGTAGATTTTCTCGAGAATGTATTGGGATGATCTCGGGGAGAGGCACGAGGACGTGGTAGATGAAATCGTTTGTTCTAATATCGCGGGTCCGACCCCCGAAGCTCGAAGATGGAAGTTTGTCCGTTGGAAATTGTCCGGGTGACATTGCAAATGGGTCCAGACGATTCCGCTCGTCTCTTCTTGTAGCCTTACTGAGATACGCACACATGTGTTTTCAACGTCGCGCTGGCACTACCAGCAGTGGCTTCTTGCCTCGAAATCCCGTGAGGCTAATTCTTAAGATACCGTTCGACGTTGACAAAAGTGGCCATATCGGAGTCAAAGTTTCCGCAGGAGTGCCATATTTGTCCGAGCAACGGCTCATATGCTTTCGCATCTCGTTGTGAATGTGTACCTCGTAAATGTTTGGCCAGCAATATACGTTTTATAACTTTCAACTTTGTTACAGATCTAAGAAATTGCTTTATTTTTAACAACAGGGACAAACAAAATAACGATAGCTTATTATAAAAAAATAATGCCCTTGTGCTAATAATTAATTAAAATATTTATTATTTAAAGTACTTGTTTATATACATAAAATAATGTATAGTTATATATTTATGTATAATAATTATATAAATATACATATATATGCTACTATATATACATATATGCTACTTGATGCTGTAATGAAAGTTCTTCAATTTGTATCGAAACCCTTTCAAATCCCGTTTTCGTACAGTCTCTTCTCGCTTCACGTAGCAAGATTTCCATGGAGAAACTCGAGGCGAAACGTCATCGGTCTAACTCAGAAGGCAAATGACACGAGAAATATAATCCATGCCACCCCGGGCTTTGAACCCGGAGAACTTCTTACCCTTCCCACTCGACATCGTTATAACTCCTTACAGGCTTGGCCTCTCCTTCCCTCGACCGCTTTCCCCCTTCGTCTACGTCAATCCCAGAGAAAGCTGGGCATTGTCGTGCCGAAATTGTGCGTAACTACGACAATAGTTCGGCAGGATTGGGCGAAATTAATGAAAACTCGCGCAGGATCTACGAAGAAGGGGTGAAGAAAGGGATGAGACCTCCCCAGAAACAGATATTCCAACCGTTGCATGGAGGAGGGGCAGGATTCGGCTAATCGTGACAAATACTGATCCGGGATTGCCGAATTATAAACTAATGTCTCGAGGAAACTTCGTCCGCGGAATAACTTTCTCCTCCTCTATCTGATTACTCCTCCGAGTGTTCGCTCAACCTTCAAACAGCGTGTATACCCTGAGTCAGCTGTTCTGAATTTTACTTCAATTCTCATATACATTATTTAAATAATGCAGAATACACATTTTGCCGTCCAATTTGTCAATTAGTGAATTTATAGACGTAACACTCGACACAGAAAGCCAATAATAATTATTCTATTAAATAACTTAGTTTTTTTGGCTCTCTGTGCGCGGTCCTATTTTTAATAATTACAAAACGAGATACGTCGAAACAAAAACGTTCTTTTTATCAATTCAAAATTGATAATTGTATCACATAATGCATAAAGTGTTAAACATACCGTGAACAAGCATCGGCGCGGATATTGCACCGCGTGCAATTTCAACCGGCGACCCAAAGAGGATGATTTCGCCATCTTTATATCTTGCGACCGGGCGTGTAAAGGATAACGGAAAGAGGGTGGTTGATGGTGAAGTTAGAGGGCGAACGTGAGTAGGCGGACGAGCGGCATGTTCCGGCCCGGCCAAGAGAGAAAGGAAATTGGATGATATTTCCCGCAACGATCAAATCTTATTGCCAATTGAAAGAGGAAAGTTCGCGGTACATTTACCCCGAGAAATCACCGACGACGAAGAGGTGAGCTAGCGAAAATGGCCGCTGCGATCTGCGATTTCGCAAACCACTCGTGGCCGTTTCCATCGCGATAACAAGCTCGTCTACGCGAAAGTAATGCGAGAATAATTACAGAACAGATTGATAGTCCAGCAAACAATTAATGGAATAAATTGATTTTGCAGATACATTTAAATGACGTATCCGCGTGCACGGCGTCTATTGCATAAAAATTACTCTATAAATGCCCCTCGATTAGAAAAAAATCAACTTCTTTTTTCCAGAATATATCTTTTTACGAATGGAAACACGTTCAAACGCTTACTGAAAGTGCTTTTCAGCATCGTTCTCACGTCTGTAAACTCGCAGCAGATTGCAATCTCGTATTGGACGATTTCCTTTCATTTATTCGTATCCCCTTATCACATCGCACATCCCAGTAATATCATCAGAAACCGAAAGATTATACGAAGTGGAGGTCGCGGTCCAATTTTGATATCCCTCCTCATAATTTCATCTATCAGTATCCGCGAAAGAGAAAAAGAGACAAAGAGAGAGAGAAAGGGAGGCCAGAGTGGCCGTTTTCGCGGGAAGATCACGTTTGGGGATGGGGCGGGTTGTAATGAGCGGACAAAAGCGTCAGCGGCATCTAATGTCAGAAATTATAGCATATTGGCAATAAAATCCGGAGCAGGGTCCGCCCTTGCACGAGTAAGCCCAACGCAGTTGCCGCCTCCATTTGTGGGTGGTTCGTTTATTATAACGAATGTACCATGTTTTGCCATTACATGTGATCTTGTCTCGGGGGAACATCTGATATACCGATAATATTCCCAATCGCTAATCGCACTTTTGTCTCTCACATAAATAATATCAAGATAAAATATCGGTACGAAACATCTCTTGCGTAATACTTATAGGCCTCTGGTCTTGTAATAAATTTAACACGGTTAACGTAATAAAGGCAATAACAATATTGATGAACTTTCAAGATCTTTTTAAGCTTTAAGATGTGCAATACGTGATCCTCTTCACGAGAAATTTACATAATTTTTTCATTGATTATTATTGAAAAAAATGTAAAGATTGCGTGAATGTTGTTTATTAATTTATAAACTAAATACGTGTACAGTGAGAGAATAATATAGGGACAATAATACACATTAAATGTATAACATTGGATTAAAACGTATAACATTTGAGACGATTTTTTTTTCTGTTAAATTTAACAAAGTATGACACGTGTTTAAAATTGCAGTATATGAAACATTCAGCGGAACGAAATGCATGAAATACACAAACATAAATAAATGTCAAATTATTTTTAAAACGCACGCACATACAACAATATTCTTAACATCGATAATTATATACAAAAATTATAATTAAATAGTCATTAATTATTGGCATATGTTGTTTACTGTCACTCGGTTTCTCAATCGCTATTAATGTCTGTATATTTAGCGGAGAGTTGCGAAAGTGTAGTTTTACCAGAGATTTTTCTAACTTTCATCCAGCATAGTGTTTTCCTCTTGTCTTTGGTATCCGACGCTATCATGTTAAAAATATCCTCCGCTTCAGAACTATCAGTTTCATGTACGGAAGGTACGTTTGATTTTACACTGCTGTCCGCCTGAAAATTTTAAAGACGTAGAATATTAAATGAGAGGCTCTTTTTAGTTATTAAATTTTTCAATTTTGACATATGTGCTAATGTACTAGTAATTAACAAATTGTTTAATATAATACAAAACTCTTCAAAATTATATTATAACAATTGGATATTCGACATAAATTATTTTTCTTTTCTACAGTTGAATATTTATTTATATTATATGCAAACCTGACAAGATTCGTTATCATTGAATTTAATGTCGATGCCATTTCCCTCATCCAAAAAAAGTTGCAGAATCCTTACTTGGATGAAATATTTAATGCCTCCGAACTAACAAGCTTAGGCATGAAACAAGAACTGATCGCGAAACTATTTTCAGCTTCGTGGTCCTTTAAGATTTCTACCGCCTGTCTTTGATTCTCGGTCGAAGATCTTTTCACGTTGTTTGAACTGTTCGCAACAGTTTGAAAATGTTTGTCCTTCTCTTTAATTTTATTTTGAATATGTCTCAATAAAATTTCATATTTTTTAATTGTAGCGTCTTTATCAGTTTTAAGTAGAGTTGCTTGTAGTTCTTTATACTTCAGTTGCATCTTTAAACGAGTTATTTCGTCCTGGCTGTCGCTATATGTCTTGCAAATTTCGTTTAGGATTGTTGTATTATCTTTATCATCCGATAACCGAGATCTAAAATCATGAATTTTCTCTTCCATGGTGTTTTCTACATTTTTACGCAAATCTTCACAACAATATAGATCCTCTTTAATCAACTCGATATTTTCGTCAGCTTCAGTGATTTGCTTTGTCAGATTTCTCGCTTTCTCGTTGCTCGCCACGTTCAGTTCTGTTATATTGCATACTTCACTCTTCAACGAAACAACTTCGCTCTCTCTTTCTGCTATCTTCATTGTCAATTTCTTCAGTTTATCCTCGAGAGTCAATTGGGTCTCGAAACATTCATACAACTGTCTGCGTAGCTCGTTCTTATCTCTCTGACATCTGTATACAATAATATCAAAATCATGTATCTTCTGGAACAATTCGTAGTCTCTCGCTAATTCGTTTTGTATTTTAGAAATCTTTCCCTCGAGCTCGTTTACTTGCAGAGTTTTCTGAATTACTTCTTCTTCCAGACTTGTGATCTTTGGTAAATGTTCATTTGCACATTTACTAGACGCTTCGTCCAGCCGATTTTGTGTCGAAGATAACATTTTTTTAAACGAACTAGCATTCGCCATGTATCTTCTTGCGCGCTCAGAAATTCGACTTTCATTTTCTTCCTTAACTGCTAGCTTGCGGAGTAGCTCACAAATTTCATGTTTGTATTCCTGCATTTTATTTCCTATCATCCTGAATAAATCATCACGTTTGATTGCAAATTCACTTTCTAGTTCAATAAATTGTTCCAATGCTTCTTCTTTGTGCGGCAACTGACATTTGTTCGCACCAGTCGCTTCACAATTTAATGCGTAAATCACAGCTCGGATAGTTTCCAGATCTTGAGACAATTCGGCAACATGTAACGTCTCTTGATAGTTCCATTTGTTCAAGGCTGCGCAATCTGTCTGTTTAACGTTGTCCTCTACTGCAATCTGACTGCACGAAAGTTTCTCCTCCAAGTCTTCTACCTTAATCGCAGCATCGTCCGAGACAACTTGCGATTTCGATGATTCCCGTGCCGTTTCGGAAGCGATTGCAGGGTCCTCGCTTTTCATTCCACGGATGTATTCATTCATCTCATCAAGTTTCTCCTCGGTTCTTTTTACTTTGTCCTCCATTAACCGTTCCAGATTGTTCATAAGAGAATCGGCGCCGTCCCCGATGTTTTCACCGCTGCCACCCCACTTACGAATCCCGGCTCGCGTGAGCTGTCGAAACTTTTTCAATTCTTCCGTTATCAAGGCCAATTCGAAGCTGCACTTGTTCTTTTCGCAAAGAATCGTCTTGTTCTCCTTTCTTAGTTTCTTCATTGCTTCTTTCAGGACCGCAACCTTAGAAGTAACCCGCGCGTTCTCAGCTTTGAGTTCTTCGTGAAGCGCATGATTGTCCTGAACGTAATTATTTCTATCTTCTCGGTTGTCCTTCTTGTGCCGCATCAAATTGTCGATACGCTCCTTGTAGAAGCTTTCAACCTGTTTTACAGACCGTTTCAATAAACCATGTATCTCGGTTTCGATTCTCTTGGTATTCTCTTTGTAAGTCGTGCCTAACTCTTTGACTACATGTGAATAATGGTCGGCTAGTTGCTGCTGAATTGCGTATTCGCCATGTAGCATATCACTTTTCACAGTATCCAATTCCTGCTTCAGCTTTTCGTTTTGCTCTCGCATACTTTTGCGCGCTGCCGAATCGATACAGTCAGTTCTTCCTGCAGTTTCAGACGAGCTTTGAGGAATAGTTGGTGATGCCTTGAACGTACGTGACGGTGACACTACGGCATCTTGAATAATTCTCCCAAAATCGCATGATTGTTTACATTCCTCATTAGCTAGTAGCTTCCTGACTATATCACAAAACTTAAAAATGCTCTGCGTTTGGTCGGAGAGACTTGGCTGAAAAGCGACGTTCACTATGATATTCAAATTTTCTTTACCCGAGAGGGCTCGCTGACATATTTGCGTTAACTTCGATTGGCGAAACGGCGCCTTATGATTTTTACCGACAGCCTTGAGGCATTGACCAAGCACCAGCAGGCTGTTGTTGATGCTGATCGCTTCGCTCTTACATGATTCTTCGAACTGCGTGGAGCCAGCCAGATCGCAAAAGGTCAAGGTGCTAAGTGTCGCTTTTTCCGCCGCATGATCCTTCTGGTATTTTAGTAATTCTATTGTGAAAATGGTATGCGATCGATGATTCCGTCTCGCCTTAACGGTGTCCGATTGGCACGTCATGAGCATCTGACAGGCCTCCAACGCAGTTATAGCGTGGACCTTTCGAAAACCGCGAAGGCAAGCTCGCCCTCTGGCGTTCTTGTACAATATCAAGGGGGTGCACACTTTCGCGCCGTCCAACAGATCGTAAACTTTTCCGTTGTAAATCTCCGCGAAGGACAGCCACACGGTGTACGTCGACTCGCCACAGCACTCTTCAGGATCCGCGTTTTCCAGCCGCGAGTTCTCCAGAAATTGTCTAGCCTCCGCCAACATCGCGGATCGTTTGTTCAACACTCGTATTCTCCGCCGCGTCTCCGAAGCCCGCGCGGCCTTGTTCAGGCGGTGCACAGTGCCCCGAAACGTTGGTTTGCACCACGGCGCTATGGTGCAATTTATCGCCGAAAAGACGAGCTCGATACTGCGCGTTATTATACCGGGCGACGCGGACGTGCCGAAGAGCGTGTAAGTCTTCCCGGAATCTCTCATGCCGTAAGTCATGATGGTCGAACTTTTACCGCCGAGGAACTCCGCGACTCGATGTTTTATGGATCCTTCGAACATCTCCGCTTGCGAAGTTTCTGATCCGAAGATCTTCGTAAAGGCATGCCGCCTGGCTTCGGCCTCGCTCGATTTCGCGCACCTCGAACTTGGAATGGATTTATCCTCGAACGGCAGAAACGTCCAAAGAGTTCTCGAGTCGAGTACGGCGTAATTCTTTTCGAGTACCGTCGGCGCTGGTTTTATCCTCAGATACATCTCGACTGCCGAAGCTCGTCCCGATTTCCTACCGACACGCTCGACAGTTTTCTCATTGCAGTGCGGCGAGAGAAAGTGATTCGTTTTGGCTTCCCGAGTGCACTCTCCGTTCGCGAACGCGTCGGGTCGTCCCGAGGAATTTTGTCCGGTCGACATCGTATGGGGCTTCGACGCGAATTAAAATGCGCGCCGAAATGACTGATCGATATTCCGAAAATCACGCGATCGGTATCCGTTTATGGTTATGTCATCAGGAAGGTTATTTCACGTCCACGCTTTGCGATATATTTCTGGAAAATAAAACGTCTCAGATGTGTGACAATACGAATTCGTTTGTGAAATAATTTCACGAGTTCGCACGAATTAATTCGCGAGTAGGCTTACTTCGAAGATTTTTACGTGGTCTTCGGACAATTTTCACGGGACGTCGTCAATTTTGTGACACAACTCTCTCGAGCGTTGACACGAACTTCGACATCGCGTACTTTTATTCCTGAACTATATTCAAGTTTAGCGATTAAGTTCCGTTCACGTGAAAAAAAAACTGAAAAGATATACTACAAAAGATACTTACGCATAAATGTAGGAGGCGGAGGAGAAGCTATAAAACATTTCACTCTCACCTTCGTTTCCATGGACGCGTTGACGCGCGACAAATGACGAACACGTGACAAAAGGGCACGTTCGGAGACGCATGGAAATCGAGTGTTAATTACAAGTGCTCGAGTAATTAAAATAAAACGGGAGTGTAACGAGTATCGTGCCAGCCCAACAAATTCCCGTCCCGTAATTCGCCAGCTGCGCCGTTTGAACAAGTATCTAACTTGGTCGCTAATATGCATGTCGTAGTTTACTCGGGGGCGGGGGGGGGGGGGAGGAGGGCACATTTCCTCTTTCGAAGCCATTCATCTGTCGCCAAGGCACGCCAACGCGTGCTCCGGCCGCGTAACCGGGGGCGCCGAGACGGACTCGCAGAAATTCGGCGATGACATCCGCGATACACGCGGCAAAACGCGCGGACGGGAGAAGACGCCGAGGAGGAGGGAGAGAGGAATCGTCCCGCGGCCGCCTCGAAATATCTTCAAAGACGGGCAAGCGGCAATTTATATGCGCGCGTCGCCCGGCTCATTAAACGCAGCCAATCAAAGCCGAAGTTAATAGCGTCCGCGGCGCGTACGGCGTGTCCCGATGGGACGGGACGCGCGATGCGCGAAATCCCGGCGTAATCTCGGCATCGGAATCGGCATCGCGGGCACAAGTCGGCCACTGTGCCGTCGTGCACCGGCCTGACCGCCGAATGCGGTCCGAGCGTCGTCGGATCGGCGGTGCCTTTCAAGCCACAATCGACCCCTTGTATCGACAGTGCGGCGGTCGTCGCCGCCTCCACCCCCGGCTCCGGCGGCCCTTTCCGCCGCTGGAGCGGTCCTTCTGCTGGGATTTCGCTTTTCGTCTTAGCCGCTCCCTCGGATGTATATCGCCTCATCGCACGCGCGCGTCTTCAACCGTGTCTCTTCTGGGCCAGATTAAAGCTCGCCGCTGCACCATCCGCGCCTTCGGTGGTCCTATCGTTTCTTCCTTAATGCGCGTAATCTCGTGTGTCAATATATTCGTCGGTAAGTGAAAATAAACGTTGTAAATAAATATTTGTATAATACAAAACTGACATACTCCTATAAAATAAAAATATCGTGATTCCGTATTGTACTTTGCTACGTCCGCTTTGCATCGTCGTTTGAATTCCAAATTAATTCAGCACCGAAAAATTGATGATCATCCGTGTCGGATTTTTTAGCGTGGAAATTTTAAGTCTTACGTAAATCCCCGTTCATTTATCCCCGTTTCTTCATTTGATATCGCTGCGTAATACGGCATTTTGTTTCGGCAAACTTGTAGCTCGCGCGAATCCTGGCACCGCGAATCGAGACGTAACTCCGTCCAGGTCGGGGACCGTAACGGAGACTCGAGGGATCTTAAGTATTTACGTCATAATAGACACATCACTTTTGATCTACGGCGTAACTCGCGATACGGTCCAACGTGTCGGTCGTAAAAACCTCGAAGAAGAAGAAGAAGAAGCGGAAGGAGGAGAGCGGGAAGAAACAAGAAGAAAGGGGAGGTCCTCTTCTTTACGGCGAGAGAAAGAACGCGTCGATATATAGGCGCGGTCATATATAAGATGTAGCTGGTGTATGAAAAATAACAGCCGTCGTGCCTCGCCCTCCCTATATCGGGCGTTAATGCCTCCACGGTGGATTGATGTTCCGCCTTTATGGGTTATTTATTTAATACTGACAAATTTCACCCGGTGCCCCCCCGTCCCCCCCCCCCCCCCCTTGCCACCGGTGGCTGCGCCGACCATCGCCGGCCGCTTCTTTTATGGCGCTTTTGATGGCGCTGGAGAACGAAAGCGGTACTCGGTACCAATGATTCGACAGTGAATCTCGATGCGCGCGATATGAAACTTCTGTGAATCGATTCGGGCCATCGTTTCTGTCTTTTCAAAATCGTATAACGTTTACTGTTCCCAATGTCGTTATGGGAGAAAATAAATAGATGTACGATGTGAGATCCAGTACAAGAACGCGGTGTTCTTGGTAAACTGCCCTGTTTGAAATAATAGATGGAATACGATCGGATTACATTAGATTGCACGCAATTTCGATGTAAATTAATAAAACTCTTATTTATTTCTACTTTATACACTGAGACAAAAATTTACTAGATAGAAAAAAAATTTCCTTAGTCTTAGCAAACCATGTGTTTGCATACAACTGTGAACGCATTTTCTTAAAATAAGCAATCATATTTGTTCATTTATAGAAAATAATTCTTTTATTAAATAAATCGTTTACTAAATATCAAAACTATTTTATGGAAAGCAGTTAATGTTTATTAAATTGTAATGTTTATTTTCTACTTTTCCAATTTAATTTACTCATATAAAGAAAATGGTCGTTTCCATAAATTAAATAGTTTATCAATTATAATAAATATTTTGTTAAATGTAATGAAGAAGTTCTAGTACACAGAGAAAACGATTTCTTTGGATTTAATAAATTTTGTTGTATCCAAACAAATTTGATATTAAAATTTTCCCCTCATTAAAAGAAGAAAGATAAACGCTGAATTAGTACACTATGTTCAGCCATAATAAAATATAGACCATTAAATGATTAAACTACGTCTGCTGATGCGGTCGCTTTATATCTAGTGGCAGCACCAAACTTTATAAGCGCCTGGCAAAAAAAAACTGAGTTTAAAGAAATATGTACTAAAATGGTTTTTATAAAATTAAAATATCAAGATTCTACAGTAAAAAAAATTCTTTACTACATTTCAACAAGTACTGTACTGTAATGTAGCAAATCTGAATTAGATTTAAACAAATGTTTCAATAAGAAATCATTTTTTAATTTTAATGCTTTGATTTATTATAATAAAGAGAAAAATTTTTCATTTTAAACATTATTTATTTAAATCAAGTAAATCTAATTTTAGTAAATATATTTTCTAAAATTAAGAAAATTTTTTTCTCAGTGTAGGTTCTAATATTTTAAACGGGGTTTTGGCAATTTTTTTAATGGGATTCAAACAACCAACATATGTAATATTACATAAAAAGGACTTGTTCTTTCTCCTTAATTTAAGTTTAATTTCGCACAAAAAAATTCAGAAATTCCGGCTTCGCGCACGAGACAAGGCAAACGAATTTTTCCGTATAAAATACTGTCGCTCTAGTCAACAATTGGGAATTAATAATCGATCGATCTCAATTACTGGCAATGCTATTACGATTTCTTCCTAATACTGAATTAATATTACAGAAATCAACGTTCGCGTTGCTCGCAATGCAATCGGCGGTCCGCGATACGATTGATCTGTATTGATAAGTTTGATTACGTTCCCGCGCGCGCGTGTGCGTGTGTGCGCGCTGATGCGTGTCTCGTGGCAGCTGCCGGGCCCGAGCGGCGGCGCATAAGGAAGAATGATGATGATGACGACCACGACGATGGTCGCATGCAAGTCGAAGAGGGGAAAGGCTGTACCGCGCGTGTTTCAAATCAACTCAAATAATAATGACGAGTTATAAATGCCACTGGACGGCTAACCAGTCCAGACTGATCCCGGGTTAAGATACGTTCCCCGCATCCACGCATCTCTCCCGACGCGAAAGTCGTGGATCCACGCTTTAACGTACGCCCCGGCTCTCTCCGCGTGATCAAGGTCACGCTAATCGCGACGGGGGTGCGTTGCCGTAATGCATTATCGGTACGGAATGGGCCCGACAGCGTAGACAGATTAGGGGGATACGAATATTAATTCTTTTCCCTTCTTGACGCGCGGCGGCCGAGGCGCGTCGGCCTCGATGACTCGTGCGTGCAGCTCATCAGGGTTAATGGACACCGCGCACGTAAAAATAATAAATTCGGGGCCACGCTGTAAAATCGCGCGCATTGATCGAGAAAGGAAAATTCAAAATAAACGCGGCGCATCGCGCATTATTAAAGCGAATCGCCGGTTGTAGCCGGGTCCGGTAATTAGATGCAGCGCGGTAGCGAGTGAGTTATGGCCTGGTAATTGCAGGGCAGACGCACGGCGTTACCGCAAATGGCAACGATTGTCTACGTATCTTCGTGATGATCGTGATCAAAAGAAACGGGCAAAATTCCCATAACTATCGCCCCGGCACAATACGCGCCTACGTACGTTGGCGCGCGGATCACGCGCGCATGTGCATTCCCGATGCGACGAGTGCGAATTAATTGCGTCGTAAAGCGCAAAACTGCGTGAGCTACCTGCGAGCTACCTGCCGTCGAAAGTCGCTCTTCGCCGCGGCGAGCGGATAATATTCGCATTACCGTCACTTTCTGCGTTAATAACGGTCGACTTGCGGACCAATTAAGACACATCGCCGAGCACACGATCGAAGGGGTCTCCAGTGACAGTTGGCGTCATTAAGGCGACGATGCCCGGCCATGCGAGGGCCCCGTATTCGTTTTTAAACAATTTCATAGCACGAGAGGCGATCCCTATCGCCGCGTATCATCTCTGTGAGATCATCGGTGACCGTCGCTGTGAGCGCGCGTCATTTCCGCTCCAAGTTCACGGCTGGATTATTGCGATCGTCAAACATCTGTCTGTGCGTACGAGCTAA